CTTCTCTATTTTGGCTTTCTTTTTGTAACATAAATGAGGACATGGTGTAATACGTCATGTGTTGTTGTTCATCTGAGGTTGTATTTACTACTTTTGAGAATTGCTAAGGATCAGATGATTTTTATTATGTCCTGATATGTAAAACCATAGAACTCAAAGAGGGTGTACCTTCTTTTTCACACACCTGTATATTTAGGGAAAATGCTCTAATTGCCACAGATGTCCATGTAAGACAATTAACCATCACTGATTGTCTACTCTGTCTCTGTCTTTCTATTCCAAAAGGAAAAATGAGAAATACATTAAAACAGTAATAAAATGAAGAGAAAAATAATGGTATTATCTTTCATGTTGAGGCACTCAAGTAGCCTATTCAGTAATCTATTCCTGCAATGGAATATCATCCACATCTCCCATCTACCTGGAATTTATTTCATTAACTTTTCAGCTCCAAGCAAAGATTTTTCTACTTTCAGACTTTTAAGTCCTCTTATTTTTACACTGCTCCTCTGTATATAAACCTCTGATGCTATTTTAATAGTATTACTGTGCTATTTTAAAGTGAATTTACATAACTTTTATCTGTGTTTATCTTGTAACTCAATCTGAGTCCTATTACTATAAAATATCTAGTAAATCTGAAAAACTAAATACATACTGTGCTTCAAGTTCTGGAAAACTGTAATATTGCTGAAACAGAAGAATATTTTAATAGAAACCACTTATATTCTATGTAATAAATGAGAAATAAGTAATCTGATAATCTGGAAAAGAAGCAATAACATGGAATTGTCCTCTTTGGTCAAGGTACTATATTTTAATGTTCAGTCTCTGAGGTTGGAAGAAATGGTCCTGAGAATTTTATTCAAAACCTGACAGGGAAATGCTCATGTTTTATATTTCAGCTTATCACAACCAACATGAATATAATGTATTCAAGGAACAATTTTTCAGGCATTCTCAACTGGGCAGCTTACTATTCACAACTTTTTCCTAAGGGCCTAATTTAGGACTTATCATCATTTAAATTAAAAGACTACTGATTTTTAAGCACTAAAAAACAGCATTAGCACACCTTAATATATTCATAATCTGATATCATCTGCTCCTATAAACCTTGCACTATTGATATTTTTTCCTTAACCAATGTACTTCCCAACTAAATTCCTTCTTGTAGTGAGGCATTTATGGTATCAATAGGCTTCTGTCACATGTTTTTGGGTGGTACTGCTACGGGGTGTTCCTGCTGTTCCTGCATAGCAATATGAAGAAACTTTACTATCCGCTTTTCTCAAGTTCTCTGGAGCAGAGAGAAATACCAAAGTATGATTCACCATATATTGATTGGCACTTATTGTAGATAGCAACCAAAGCAACCTATTCTCAAACACAAAAGTAGTAAAATGTGCATAGTACAAAGTCAATGATTTCACACCATTTTAACTGCCTTTCCCTCCCAATCCTGTCTACCTTTAAAGTATTATATATAGTCTACCTTAAACCACAGAAATAGGGATGTTACATACTGTATGTCATGCCCTCATGTAAGTTTTACATAACTTCCACATACCTCTTGAGGGGCATCTCTATCTTCACACAGTATACATTCTATGTGATATTTTTACTTATATTGACCACCCAGAGGCAGTATTGTACGTGACTAGTTTCATCTATTTGGGATTCATCAGACAAATGTAGAAAAGATCTCTGGCTATGTATGCCTGATGAGTCACAAACAGGACAAAACTGGTCATGTACTGCCTCTTCTCAACACTGGAAATTAGAGTTTGGTAAAGGCAGAAATTCTTAGACAACCTGCTTTCTTCTCTGACGTTATATACCTAGAACTGCAAGTAAAATATTTACACTGTAGATATGGAAAACTTGCTTACTGGCTTTGCATAAATTTAGAAAATAGTAGTATAAAAAGAGAAAACAATAAAATCATCTTGAGAAAACATCCTTAGTAGGTGGAATATGACTGCATATATCTGCTCCTGAGTCCAAAGAATGGGGAAAAACCAATTGTTCTAAAGAGAGTGGTCAGTCTTTTTGCCCGAATGGCCACCTGAATTATCCAAGTAGTGATCTGTGAGGGCTGCCCATGCATATACTTGCCCATGTGTATACAAATACACTGGATAATTTGGATAGAATCAGGCTCTTACTGAATTTATCTCCCAGATGATTCCAGTCCAGAATGTTGCTTCCCTGCTGTTATTTGCAATAGAAACAGTAATTTTGAGCAAGACTGTCCAGGGGGTAGGGGGATGGAAGGAGAACTTTGTCCCCATCTCACATCAATCTCATTGCACATCATTAGCACTATGGAAAAACAATTTTTCTCCATTGCCCAGCTATAGGCTGCTGGACAAAGTACTCCAAGGGTTGCAAAACAAAAACAAAAACAAACAAACCACACACAACCTATCAAGTCTGTGAATTGATTATATGTGTATTAAAGGTGACGTGATCCCTAAGTCCTTAAAGGCCGCAACTCATCTTTATTCATATTCATATTGATTCAGTGCTGGCACATAAAACTCACACTTGTAGGAAAAGCTCTTATTTGTCTACTAAGAAAAGGATTTTTACTTTTTTAAAAAAACAACTGTACAGCAAGGGCAGAGTAGAAAAAAAATTACTGAAAAACAAACACGTTTTAGTAAGACTTACCTCAACAATTTGTAGGAAATCAAAATGCTCTTCAGTGCTTAACATGTGATTGACCTTTGCCATAAATATTTTTCCCAAAAGTTTTCGTGCTTTCTCCAGCTTCTCCTTGTAGCCTTACATTCGGTACAGAAAAAATAGAAGACACTGTGAAGAAAATATATTTCAGGTTATTAAGTTTTAGAAAGGAGAAATAAATTTCTTTCTTGCCAACTTCTATCTAAACAAATTTAAAAAGAAGAAAAAGCATAAAATATTGGGGTCAGCTCAATGCAAAGTTTTCTAGGGCTTCTGTATGCAATAAAATAAATGTAGAAGGAACTAGTCCAAAACTGGAAAGTTTTGAGTAAAGATCACTAGAACTAGCATGCTGGTCATTCATAGTGACCCAGAACTTTTTCAAATTGTTTGGTGTGAATGCACTGCCAAACCTCAAGCCAACAGATTAGCATAGGGCAAATTCCTTTCTAATTCTAATTTTCTTTAAATGTTTAAAATAGGAATTTGATCAAGAGAACTGAGGAAATGTTCTCCTGAAAAAGATCAACTCCAATGGTTCATTATTACTTTCCATAAAACAAAAGTTATGGATTGTATCAGGACTATAATTAAGGACACATCATTCCAAGTTCTGCAATTCTGACCTACTATCATCGCTTGCCTGAAGCAAAACAGCATCCAACTGAGAGACTTCAGAAAATAAGTTCCTAAAGCAAGCTGTAAGAATCTGTCGCCTATCTGATGCTCATTTCTATCAATATAACACCAACCCTCCTTCTTAATCATATCCCCATTAGCTGTTTCTCTCAACCCCCTAACTCTTTTCAGTGGTTTCCTCTGAAATGTTTCACCAAGACACCAGTCACAATTCATTATCTTTTGCTTTCTTGGTCTCTCCAGCTATTTGTCCCAGTGAAATTGAAGCTGTCTCCTCCTTCAAAGTCTTCACAATCTCCCATGGAATTCATTTTGACGGTCATGGTGGTATTGGCTTTCTATCTAAATTCTGCTGGTTCCATTCCCACTGCTTCTTCACTTTGGAAGTTTATTCTGTTTGATAGGGTGTTCCATTTGACTCTAGATCCCTACATATCTCTATATTAATGTTGTATATTGTGCCCTTTTCCCTCCATCAATGTTCATTTCAGGTGTGACTTGCTTGTTTTTTTTATCACTTTAGGCATTTCAAAATAGCTATTTATAATCCTTTTGTCCTGCAACCTCCTGTTTTCTCTCCCCTATCTTCTTCAATCTCTGACTTTAAAATTCCTCTCTCTCTGTCTACAATGGGCAGTCAAGTGACACTGACTTCACCAAGTACTACCTGTAACTTACACGCTGGAATCTGTCTACGAATATCAAGCCACACTATTCTATTCTGCCTCCATCTTAATCTCCAAAATGTTAACTTTTTCCCAAGCAGAGTTCTATCTCTCTTCCATTTCTTTGCCTGTTCTCCAGCTATAATTTGCTTTCTCCATTTTAATACTTCTCTTCATGAAGAAGAAAAGTAGTGCTCTGGTGCTTCTCTGTACTTTTTGTCTCTACTGCAGTTATAACCCCCCCTCCTTATTCTTTTTAAAGCTCCATAAATGGATGACATTCCAACATAAATTATGTAAATATAAAATGTTATCTTCTGTCTCTGGAAAAAAACTATGCTATAGGAACTACAGGTTCTTGAACAAATCTTTGGAAAATGCACAGATAAGCATGGTGGACATTAATAATTTAGCAGCTTAATACCAGCACTGAGTCCCATATCCAAATACTAAAGAAAATAAGAAACATTCTTATTTCTATCTGAGAAGAAAAAAAAGTTATAAGACAGCCCAATGAGTTAATTAGGCACAATGTGCCTGGCAATAGTAAAAAAGCAGCTTTTGTATTATAATAAAAAAGAAAAAATGTTGATTATCAGTAGTGTGTGCACTGGATGTTTTAGAATGCTGTCTGGTGGCCATTCCCTTTGTCTAACACAAAACTCTCATATCACTACAAAGTTTTAACAAAAACTCAGTTTTTCCCTCTCCACTTAGATATTTTTTAGTTTCATAGATATATTTTAAATAAATATGAATAGCCTAACATTTTGTATCTTCCGGTAAAGATTGGTCCAGTTAATATCATTCAGATTACTTGGTCCGCTAGCAGCCCTACACGAGGGTAATAGTTAAAGTGCATCCAAGCTCATGTAATAATTTCTTAAAAGTTTAACATTTCAACATTTTAATACAACAAATGTTATATTATTTTTATTACTGAAAATAACAGTTGCCAACTTGTAGTGGTTTCATAAGACCTCTGTATAAAAGAGAGAGAGGGAAGAAAGGAAGAAGATGGAGAGATTAAAAGAGAAAAAAATATATAAATAAGATAAATTCATTATTTTCAAGATAGAAACTTGAATATATGAAAAATCACCATCTATGTTTCTAATTAATAAGCAAGGTTAGTAGCTCCTAACCTGAGAGATATATATTTATATTTTAACTACTAAGAAATAGTAATAGCCTTTGATCTGTTGTATGGTATATTACATTTACATAAATACTGGCTTTGTGTCACTGGTTTTGTGAGATGGGCAGCTATATAAATTAGACAAATAAATAAATAAATACACATTTTAAATTACTACATCATTTAAGTAGGAAATCTCTTCAGGTACATGGAAAAAGCATCAGAATCAGTTATATAAATCATATCAATATTTTCCCTAATCATATAACTTCATTGTTTTTTAAAACATGTTTGCAATTTCTATGCATGCATATCAAATCCAAACAATTATAATATTTGATATAGGGATTGTCCTTTCTCGCATCTTGATTTAAGCTTTATAATGATTATCTACTACAGACAGAAAGAGTGTTTCTATAACTCAGAAATTTACTGGAGGCATTTAGCAGAACCTTGCCTAAAAATATAATGATTTTCCATCTTTATTCTCCCCCTTCAAAAGGTTTCACTGCTCCTGATGTTTAATGTTATGCAAAGACATGTTTCGGCCAATGAATATCGCCTTATGGTTATGCTTCTGCAAATAACCTGCTGTGAGCTGATAAAAGGATTAATGCAGCCAAAATTCTTAATCTGTGAAATTACAAATTAAATTCTCATATTAAAAATACCACCCTGAGGTATTTTTTGTGGTTTTAATTCCCCTCTGGTGTTCTGCATACATTGCACTTGTTAATGACTAGGAGAAGACTGTCTCTGTTGGCAGCCTGCTGTACAGTGATAATGTGTCAGTATTTAGCTCTCTGATAGGACTGGACTTAACCACCAATTGATAAACTAAGTGGCAAGTTGATAATAAATCCATATTAACTGAAAAATGTTACTATAGGATCCATAAATTACTGAAATCCTAGTACAGTAATATGTACAGGCATTCAGGCTTCACATCTAAAGCTATATTTAGTTTTTTTACACTGACTAAATGGAAAAATAAACAAATCATTTTTTTTCAGATGGTACTTGTTAAATGATACTGAGGTATTTTGAAAAAATCTGATTGCATTATGCTATGGGAAAATTTTCAAATTGTGGATAAGGCTGTGCAAACCATTTTAAAGCAGCACACTGCAAAGCATATTAGATGGAGTGAAGCACCTCTCCTCGACGCGTTAAATTAGCCACATCCCTTATTTGAATATTCAAAAACACATTATAGATTAGAATGAAAATATAGAAAAATACTGTGTGCATATAATAAGGTACCATTATTTTACAATGCTGGAATGAACCAAACAGTGTTCTATATTGATGACATCCAGGCATAGACTTCTGCCTCAATTTTGGATAATGTAGCGTGCTGTTCTCTCTCCAACTGCTTTATTCAAATCTCCAGCTGGATGTGTTCCAATGACGTTAAATTTGGAAAAGGCCAAGCTTATCATTTTTAATCTCAGTCATTGTCCTTTTTCATCTTCTTGCATCTTTTACTTTTCAGGACTGTCAGTTTCTGGTGTATTTTCTGGGGTCCATAATTTGGGAATTTGTATCAACAAGAAACTTTCTTTAAAGCCTTTCACTGATAAATTTACATCTAATTTTTTTCTTTCTGAATATACAGATAATTCAACTAAGCAGTTAGTTCATGTATGCTTCCTAGTTTATTGTTGCAGTTTGCTGGCAGACCTTCCTGACTGCTCTTCTGGTTCAGGTTTAGAATAGCATGGTTCACATGTTCCTAGACCTCTCCTGATTCACACCTACTTCTTCTTTTTGAGAACACCTGCATTGGCTGGATCTTTTGGAGTGTCATCAGCTTAAATTGCTGGTGCTGACTTTCTGGGCCATGAGTGCATGAGGGAATACTCTTATTTGAGTAACTTGATTACAATTTATATTCCTTTGTGTTCAGTTTGAAATGAGTCTAGATAATCCACTTCCCCAGGGTCCTCTGGAGTTGAAGCCTGATCACCCTCTACACCAACTTCCTTAAAAAGGGTAGGTTGGAGATTGGATGGAAATTGTTCAGGATGGTTGGGTCCAGTGATGGTCTCTTAAGGAGATGGTGCACCACAGCCTCCTTCAAGGCTGAGGGGACCATCCCCTCCCACGGAGAAGCAGACATCATTGTATGGGTCCAACCACAGGTAATCTTCTGGAGCATGGCGTAAATCTAACACATAGGTGGCTAAGCTCACAGACTGGAGGATCTTGTCCATTTCCTCAGGAGTCACAAAGTCAAACTTTCTCCACAAGCAAGGTGCATTCCGGACACCTCTTCTGGACCTATCCAGTCTGGGTCCAACTCTGAGCAAATCTTTTTTTATATATAATTTTATTAAAGATTTTTTAAAAGGAAGATAAAAATTAATACAAACTAATATAAAGCAAGACAAAAAAGAGAAAGAAATCAAAGAGAAATCTAAAAGTACAAGAAAAGG